GCTCCAACATCTTTTTCCTAAAAGTTCCTTGTAAGTTAGTTTTTTCTGACTTTAAGTGTAGTAAAATATCTGCTACACTGGAAACGAGATGAAAGGAATGTTTAGTGTTTTTGCAGTCCAGAGGAACTTGGGTGATAATGTTGATCTGTTTTGACCTGGGCTGAATACAAAGTCCTGTCTGCAAACCTTAAAGGAATCCAAAGGTAGTGAATAATAAATGAGCACAAGACCATTGCAGAGTGATCTGTAGGTAAACGGTAGCACTTCAGTTTTACTGATACATCTGTGCAAAGCACAAAGAAGTCAAAAGCCTAAATTCTTCCTCAATTCTACCGGGTAAAAATAGTCCCATGTTCGGTCCAAACTGGACCTCTAATTGGGGAAATATTTTAGTAGCACTTAGTCTGTGGTGAACAGGCCTTCCCTGTATATTTGATCAGGATAGAAATCAAATTAACTATTAATCAAAACACTTGAAAGCTCAGGGACTAAGAAGAAAAACTAATTATTAAGAGTATTATAATGAAAAATTGCACATTTTTGCATCCTAAAAGCTTCGACAAATTGAGACCATTTTCACCTTAACAGAAAAAAAAGAGAGCCAATCGGATTCTTCCCTCCATGAAGTTTCACTCGACATGGACTGAACACTGTCTCCACTGCTGTCTGTATATGAAGTGTTTTACTTTGTTGATCCTGTTCCTGCACTTTGCCTGCTACGAGTTGCATGCCTAAAAAAAAAAAGCAAAAACAAATAAAAAAAATAACAAGCACTGTCATGTGGTTTCTCTATATGAATGTTTTTATTTTCTTTTGTAGTTGGTTGTTTACTGTTTTTTTTTGTTGTTGTTTTTTTTTCTGTTTTTACTGTGTTGCTTTATTTCTCTGTGGAGCTCTAAGCCGGTTTGATGAAGGATGTGTTTAGCTTGGCGGAGTTTAGATGCTCTGCTGCGGCCCAAATGAATCCAGGAGAACGGTCCGCGCCCCCCTCTCGCCCCCCACTTCAACACGCCCCTGTCTGCTCAGTCACATCTGTGGATCATCCCTGCCTTGTGGTCATATGAATCCGCTTGGGTTTCCATCAAAGTGCAGCGCGGAGAGCTACGACAGGAACTGACTTGTGTTAGCTAACGTCACGTCTCATCATCGCTCCATTGATGAACGCTCTCTCTGTTATCAGTGTTAAAATATATCGCAAAAAATAAACTAAAAGAGCATCAACCTTTCCCCCTTACAAAACAATAAATTTACATCCAAAACCTGAACAATAACGGCGACTTCACTCAACCAAATATCCCCCAACAAACAATGTGATTATACTGTAATGTTGATGCAACGTGTATGTACATGACAAAAAGAGAAAGAATAATAAATATATCATCAGTGTCAAGAAATCTATCTTTTTCTATTATGTTTAGTTGTGTTTTTTGGAATGACTTATAATGTGACACAAAACTGCAAAACAGCTGCAATGTAAAAAAATATTCTGTGTTACTCTCTGTTTGTTGTTTTATGGAAGCCATGAAGCTACGGTGTGTTCTTGGAAAAAGCCCTGCTAAGTTTTAAATGTGGCAGCTAATGTTGTGTGTTTGCTATTCAGACTACAGGGTCTTGTATTCGAAAAAGCGTGTAATTTAAGTGCTAAAGTGCAAAAGATTGTAATGTTTTATATCAAGATTACTATTCATGAAATGTCAAGTCAAGTTTATACTTTTGTAATAAAGTGGCACTTTAAAAAAAACAAGAAGTTTTATCTCATAGTCTCGCTTATTAAAAAGTGGAGGGAGAAACGAGCAGAAAGCTTTTCTGATCCTAAAAGCTGCCAAGAGATTTCTATTTTTAGATTTTTAAAAGGAGGAAAACTATTTGTAAACCTTTTTATTTCTATTTCGGGCATCATTTCAGATCAGGAGTTTTGAAGTGAGGTTTTGTTTAAAGGTTATAAGCAGTTGGCGTCTTATGATTGGAAATCAGATTTCGGAATAAGACCTGAGTTGAACTTGACTTATTTGGATGTGGTTTGCTAATTGTGCCAACAACGAAATAAGGATTTTTTTCTTCTTCATTTTATACACAAATAAAAAAGTTAAGCTGCCCAGAAATAAAATGACATATGCCAGAAACTTCAATTTAATTCAAAAACTCAGATTGACATTTAAGAGAATTAAATGTATTCCAAAAAGGATCTGCTGTAGCAGTCTGTGTTACTGTCGATCGGAAGAAGTCTCTGCTGGAAGACACTTGTTTATTAACCTTCTCACAAAGCGGATGCAGTGTCTGTAATTTTCTTGCTTTTAAGAAGAATCCTTCTTTGCACAATAATCCTCAGATGCACTTTCACTATTTCAATGTGCACGGCAGCCATGTTGGATTTTGAACATAGTGTTGTTTCATAACAACCAAATTTTCCAGTTAGTATTCCGACTTCAGGGGGTTCTCCTGGTGCATTTCAGGTGAGAATATTAAAAGAGAACGGACCAAGCTAACATCTAAAAGTGACGAAAACTAAAACAGACGTCGACCATTTTCAAACTGTGGCTACGTTTGCATTGCAGGATTATTTACAAAGGAAATGAAGGCGGTCCTTTTCCTGTATGAAACTAAAATGAGAAAAATCTTCATATTTGGGAATCATCAGGTTCATTGCAGATGACCTCCAGGATGTCACTTAAGCACCATTTTAACAAATTTTGTAAATGTTTTGTTTTTCTTTGATTTAGAACCTAAAACCAGAAATAAAACGGAGATTTTTTTTTAAAAATGGCCACAAATTTTGTATTGTAAACATTAATAAGTTGTATTTTGTCTGAACGAGTTTCATGCATCTACTCTTTGGTTTTTAAAGGCTGCAGACAGGAGTAGCGGGTTCTTGCTTTCTCATTGGCTATATTTGTTACATTTTTTTCTTTTTCTGTTGATATCATTTGTTTACAAAATAAAACAACTTTATTTTTAGTTGTTTAATTCCAACTAACTTACTTTCCTGTCCAGAAATGTAATAAAAAAAGATAGATCAAACACAGATATGTGAATATTTCTTAATGTAAATTTGCATATTTTATCAAGTCCCTGCCAACAGCGATCATTATTTACAACAACTCTGAATAATCTGAATTGATATGAGTTACAACAACATTTAATTCCTCTTTGGGATCAATAAAGTATTTTAAAATTTTAATTTCACATGGTTTTATAATCTTTTAACAGAACCTTATGTTAACAATCTTAAGCTTTTAATTTAAGCAAACATTTAAAACAAATTTGTTAGAGCTCCTGAGAGTGTGTGTGTGTGTGTGTGTGTGTGTGTGTGTGTGTGTGTGTGTGTGTGTGTGTGTGTGTGTGTGTGTGTGTGTAGTGGGGTCTGCGTCTGTGTTGCTGTGGACCGAGGAGGGTGGAGAGGAGGAAGGAGAGAAAAAAAAAAAATAGGTCACCCCTTAAAACAAAAAGCTTGCAGTCAACATCGTAACCGTCTGCTGAATTTCCATTGGCTGGCCTGTCTCCATGGTAACAGGTTAACCTTGAGGCGAGCGAGTCTTCTGCCGTCTTGGAGGATACAGAGCACGTCGTGTGACATCCCCGATCACGGTGCCAGCCAGTCACGGTGGGATGGAGGGGAAAAAAAAAACAAAACAAAACAAAAATAAAACAAAACACGGGGCGCCGCTCAGACCGGAGGTGTGAAGGCGACACAACATTCACAGCTCCAGTGATGTGCGATAATCTCCCTGGGAGCAGCGTGAATGAATGCATGAACGAATGCATGAATGAGGAGCTGAGACTGCCTTAAAGTGGGAGATTACCCGATAATAGGGAGCATCACCAGGGGTGGGTTTTATGGCGTGAACACAGCAGAGTGGAACAAACGGCGCTGGTCATAAAAGTTCCCAAAAACAACCTGAATGTTGTTACAGTCATGTTTTTACAGTCTGGAAAGCACAAAACAGAGAATTCAGCACCTAAAATAACAAATTAAATATATTTCTAAATGTTTTACATGTGTGTAAGTGTGTGTAAGTGAGTCTTCTGTGTTTTTACAGAATGCATTAGAAACAGAGAGAGCAGGAGATTTCTGCCTGGAAAGAGGGATTAGCGTGAGCGGCACCGCCCCCTGCTGGCCGAACAGTGTGCTGCAGCAAGGCCGAGCAGGGCGGCCTGCGTGTGAACCCTGAGAGTCTGAGGAGGTTTAAATATTCAGCTGCCAGCCTGTGACCGTCCGTGACCTCAGATGGGAGCTTCTCAGTTCAAGCTCTGGTTTCTACTCGTGTGTGAAACCACGAGAAAACTGAAAACAGGCCCAGATCACCCCCTCTCACTCTCTCTCACTCTACAGAAAAGGATTAGGATAAAAACAGAAAAACATTGGATTTAATGTCAGAATTCTGAGTTTAATCTAAGAATTATGAGGGTTTTTTTTTTTCGAATTCCAACTTTAAATTCTGAATTTCTTTCTCTGGATTATGACTTTTTTTTGTCAGAATTCTGACTTTTTTTTAAATTTCGAACAATGTCAAAATTGTGGATTTTTTTTCAGACAGCTAAAAATCTAAAACTTTAATGTAATATTTCTGACTTTTTTCCCCTCTGAATACTGTCTTCAATCTAGGAATTCTCACCTTTTCCTCAGAATTGTGGCTTTTTTTCTTAGAATTCAGAATTTTTTTCTCTCAAAATTTTTACTTTTTTGGAATTCCGATTAAGGTCAGAATTATAGAATTTTCTTAGTCAGAATTATTATTTTAATCTAAAAATTCCAGCTTTTTTTCAGAATTGATTTTTTTTGTCTCAGAATTCTGACTTTTTTCAGAATTCAGATTTGTTTTCTCCAATAATCTGAATTTCTTAAAATTTTTCACCTTTAGGCAAATCTGGTCTTAAAACTCAAATCTACCAAATAAATGTATGACAGGCTGTCAGAGTGGATAAAATGCAGGTTCATAAATCCTATAACAAGAAATAAACAGTTTTGCAATTATTTTTATGGACTAACAACATAATTGAAATAAAATTAAATTGTTTATTTGCATCTTAGAACTGGAGTTTCATCTCACATTTTCCTCTTTCTTCACATCATTCTCCAGCATCTTTGTGTCTCCAAGTCTCTCAGTTTTGGAGCTTTGGTCACAACATTGTTTTATCAGAAGGTCGGCATCAAAAAGTTGGTGCAATATTGTACACTTCTTGCAACGACAATTTTGATGAGAATCTCCTGCAAATTAAATAACTATTGCTATTTTCTCCACTCTTTTGCCCCATGAGAGCATCAATAAATATCAGTAAATTAAAAAATATGAGTAAATGCAGACACTGTGTGAAATTTCATGATATAAATCTCACTTTTTTAAGTAAGTGGCGTCCTGAAGGAGTCTAATGAGAATGTTTTCAAGGGCAATATTTGAGTTTATACTGTCAAAAACATACAGTTGCCTAAAAAATAAGCAATAAAATAGTTTTTTAAAATTATTTCTATCATTATCACACATTCATATCCTCATTTAGATTATGAAACAAATGAGATTATTGCAACATTTAACCCTACAGGTGAAGGCACCAATCTTTATAGAAATATTCAGCACATTTGTAGCTGTTTTATAATACAAAAAATGGTCTATAGTGTAGAAAATAAATATAAGAATATATTTGGTGTCTGTGCATTAACCAGAGTCACACTGACAACTGCTCCTGGTTCTCTTCATCGCTCCAACCGACCGACCCGTCCGTCCCAAAGTACCGGTCCCCAAAGTCTCCTGAAAACACAGAGCGGAGAAACGGCAAACAGAAAGGAAAAGGAGCAACATTAAAAAGAAACTAAACACACGCAGAAGTTTTTCATAAAATACACAAAAATATCAAACATATCATTTTCATTTAAAGCAGAAAACCAACCATTATTTCTACTATTTACTGTAATGTTTACTATTATTATGGTTACAGTCATGTTTTGCATTTCTTACAGTTTTACCCCAGTTTTTATTTACAAGGCATAAAAAGAGAAATACGGGATTTTAACGCTTTGAAAGTTTTAACGTAATTTAACAAGAATTATTTTTTCCAAACTTTTGTGTCTTTGATGGTTGAAGTTTAGTCACAATTTCTGCAGTTTTTTTTCTGTGTTGCCAATAAGCAGGCCCACATTTATTCAACATACTCTGATTAAAAATCTGTCATCAGCAATGTATTCCTAGATATAGCTGCTCTGAAATGTCTTGATTTTAGTCCTTTAAAATAACAAAACTCAGATTTCCTCCATGACTCAGGCTGAAACTTTATTTAAATCTCATAAAAAGCAGCAGCTTTGTTAACAAACATCATAGTTGATGTCTTAGCAACGTTTTATTTTATCCTTTTTTTAATCATGCTGTTCTTCTAAAGAATATTTACTTTTACCAATTATAGCATTTGAGGTTGCTAATGGAAACTGATGTGACTAAGATGTTATCGTCATTTTCAGATGGCGTTAAAGTAAACAATACTTTATATTTGAATCTTGAACAAACATTATGTGTTTCTGTTTGTTCATATTTTAGTTACAGGATCTGAGATGGGCAGATAAATTACTCAAATAAGAGTAAAAAAGTATTTGGTAAAAAGATCTACTCAAGTACTGACTGATCAAATTATTAATTAATATTTAAAAATTATTCCTTCAGATGAACCGAAATATACATATTTAAAGTTATATTTTGGTATTTTAAGGACTAAAAGGACAATCATTCATAAAAGTAAAAATAAATTACAAACTAAGACGAAAGAAAATGTTTCCAAATCAGTGTTTTTCAATAAAAAAAACTTACGACTGCAGGTGTGTTTCTGGTTAAAACATGTTTGTTTCTCATTCAGTGAGGAGAAAATCCAGAGATTTTACTCAGATAAGAGCAGTGTGACGGAGGAGCCGTCACGATCGGAGAGTCCCTGTTAGCAAACATGCACAGTTATAAACTTGCCTGTTTCTTTTCCTTTTAGTTTGGATTGAGGCGATTCATGGTGGGTGCACACGCGGTGTTTTCGTTTGACGTTCATTCTAATCGGTTATTTTCAGGTACATGTTTTTCCGGTTTTCTTTTGGGGGAAGTTGTTTCCGGCTTGGAGCGCACCGGGAGCCAATTGCGTGATGTGTAGTCATCACAATGTGCTGGTTGTTTTTGTTCTTTTGTTTGGGTGTATTTTGATTATAAATTTATTTATTTTTCCTTCCTTATTGTTATTTTGCATATTTCAAGGATTTGAGTTAGAAATAATTGCTTAGTTTTTGTTTTGTTTAGTTTTGTTTTGTTTGATGGGACTTCCTCTGGGCGGAGCCGGTAGTTATAAAAGCAGGGCTCTGTTCACAGAGGGCAGTCTGCACCTAGGCGTGAGAAGTGTCACATTGGAGTTGATGAGCTGCGACTTGAAGGTACTGCTGTGCTGTGTTGATTTTTAACTCATCTTGGACATTTTTGTAAATATTATGCATTTGCCACTGTTGATTCACTGCACTGATAAAAAAATAAATCTCACTAAAGTAATCCCTGGCCTTGGCCCGTCATTTTTTTGTGGTGGCCCAAGTCATAAAAGAACCCCGTCACAAGCAGCGATACTTTGTACATCCTTTCAAAAAAAGTTACTGATGTAGCTGAGTATCTGTGCTAAAATGAAACTCGAATGTTTGTGTCTGCTTACCGATTCCAGGAATAACGTGGAAGGACTCGTCCAGGTCCTTGTCCACAGCCGTGGTGATGATCTTGACCTTTGGGAAGGCGTAGGCCACAGAGTGCACTCCCAGTCCAGCCATCAGCAGCGACACCAGCATGATCTTTTCCTCCTGGACCTCATGGTCCTGCTCAGAGGGACACAGCGGTTACGGATCATCTGTTTACAACATTGTACTAATCAAACTCACCAACTAATCGATTAATAGTTTATAATATTATTCAAATTAGTTCCACTTGATACGCTTAGACCTTCTGTGAGTGTTGTCGTTTTGACGCCTATAGAAACAAAGATGGCGGCGGGGCTACAGCACAGCTGGAAGGAGAAACGGTTTGAACGGTTCGGTTTGGGGTGGAAAATGCACTTTATGTTGTCATGTTTTGAAATATAAACTCTCGACAAACTCGTAAAGTTATTATCTTTATGGCGCTTATTCAGCCGAGCTGCTTTTACTTCATTAATCACATATTATAGATGTGCTGCAAAGATTACAATGTGATTAAAATGTAAAATGATGATTTTTAGAGATGTTGTGAGTTAATTCATATAATTTAAATGAACTTTTATACTCCTTCAACAGCAGACAGTACTTCTGTTTCTCTGTTTCATAAACTATTCTCATTGTGCATTTTTCTATTCTGTAAGTTAAGAGATTTTTAAAATATGTCGAGGTTTAATAATGTGGAAAAAAGCAACACAATTTTCTATTTATTCAGTCAAAATTTAATAGATAATATTTAATAGATAAAATATTTTTGAAATTCAGCATTATTGTGGAAAATGTAAGAATGTCCTTTTTTTAAATAGAAAACTGCCGAGATCAATCTAAAAGTTTAAATGTATTGCTCCTTTTTTATTTTCTATCTACAAATGAACCATCATTCTACTGATCAGCTCGATCAACTTTAGACGAACTCATCAATCAATAACCAAACACAGACCAGCGTGTGGCGGTTCGGGTGAGGCTGCGAATCTCCACCCACCAGCAGAACCCGGACCGCCATCATGGCCGCGGCGCCGGTGGAGACGGTGCTGTCCATCAGGATGACGTGATCCTCGCTGATGTCTTTGGGCAAGCGCAGGTAGTGCAGCTGGTTGCCACGGTTACAGGCACAGGACAGGTAGTTACCACGGAGACAAGCATCACCAGGAAGATTTTTTTTTATGTGTATAAAAGAAAAATGGTGGACAGTCGTTTTGAGACGCTGTGCTGAGTGGCAAACGGGTCGGGTCGAGGGTTTCCGCTACCTCTGGCTCGCCGGAGTCCATGTTGGTCTGGATCAGGATCTTCCCGATGCGGACGTCCTTGCACACGGCCCTCAGGGCGGGCTCCATGGTCTCCCCTGCCCTCAGGATGGAGACGCCGGTGATCTGCGGAGGCGAGGAAGAGGAAGTGGAAGTGAAGGCGAGGAGAACGCTCAACAGGAAGTGTGGAGGACGTCGCTCACTCCTTTCCCCCTGTAGCTGCGGCCGTCGTAGTCCGGGCCCTGCGGAGTCTGAACCACACAAGGCTGCAAAAAGAAACAACAAAAAGAGAAGCACACAGGAAAGTTGGTGTTTCTTTGAGCTGACATGGACCGTAGTGGGTCCAAAAGAATTTACTCTCATGAAAGTAAAAGAAAATGAATCCAGTAAGTGTAAAATAGTCAAAATATTTGGTAAAAACGCACGACTGCAACATTTTGAACTCAAAAAAGTATTTGGTAAAAACTGATCACTCTGATGAATTATTTAATATAAAATAAATACATGATAAGACGTTCCAGAATATAAGAATATGTTTAACTTTTGGCATTTTAAAGATCAAAGTGGAAATAATTCATATCAATAAAATAACCACAAAACAACAAAATCAGGTAAAACATTTTCCCAAATTAATTTCTTTAAATATGAAACTTAAAAACTGTGCTGTGTGTCTGTTTCAGCAAGATGTTTTCAGTTAATAATTGCTTAATATTGGTGAAGTTCCAGTTTCACTGACAAATTATGTCATTAAAACAAGTCACTTTTACCATGTTATAGATAATATAACCTACCAGAAGAACTAATATTTTTTAATCAATTTTAAGTCACTGTTGCCTTAAAACAAACTCCTATGTCTTTGCTGAAAAGCTACTTTGTTTTGTCTCATTTCAGTTGCACCAGAATCTAAACCAAAAATGCTCAGTAAGATTTTGTGTTTTTGCAGTGAATTGACTCCAGAACACTTGGATACAAGAAAAATAAAATAAATCAGTCGTGTCAAGGACAGCAAGGTGCTTAAAATGCAAGGCTGCATGTTTTGAACCTCTAATTTAAACCCACCTGAGAGGGCAGAAAAGTCAGCGCATGCTCGATGAGAAGACGCATTAATCTCTTTGAGTAGAAGATGAACTCATCGCGGCTCGTCTCTCTGTTCCTGCAGCAGAGAAACAACCTTCAGCTCGAGGTGCGTAACTCTTCAGGTGAACCTGCGCGCCGTCGTGCCTGATGATGGTGTGCAGGCCGCGGACCTGCGGCGAGCTCTCCAGCACGCTGAGCGTCTGAGGCAGCGGCTGCGTCTGCTGCACCGAGGCGAGCAGAGCTCTGCAGAAAAACATACGAAGAAAAAGGTTTGCACTTTTTTTTTACTCTGATTGAAACACAAAGTCCAGCCACAAGTTTACATACACTCATCTTAGGACATTTTAAAAGATGAATCGGATACAAATATTTGAATTTCCACTGGATATTTGATCAAAATCAGCAGCATTAGAATAAGATTTAATGACCAAGATTGTGTGCAAAAACAAGGAATCTGCCTTTTAAAGCGCTCAGGCCTCAATTATAAATATGTAAACCTCAGAGGAAACAAAATAAGATTAGATATGGTAATATTGCAGCCATTTTTATAAACAAAATGAGTAAAATAGGATTATTGTTGTCCAAATACGTTCAATTCGGTTCACGGTAGAGTAGCTAACCCTTCTCACTGTTCATCAGAGTGAAACCAGACAAGTATTTTATGTTTAATTTCTAGTGCAAATATGTTAATACACTTGAAATAAGACAAAATAACAAGTAACTTTTCAGCAAAATAGGAGCTTATTATACACCAATAGTTACTTACGATAGATGAAAAAGAACTAGTTTTACTGGCAGACTATTTTACTTGGGAAAATGTCCTGTTAAAAATGATATTATCTGACAATGGAACTCGTACTTTTTCATTTTTAAGGAAATATTTACTTAAAAAATGCTCCCATCTCTTGGTAAAAAGTTACTTGTAATTCAGTTTTGTCTTAGTTCATGTTTGCTAAGATATTTTCACCAGAAACTCGACCCAACTTGGTAAGATTTAGTGTTTTTGAAGTGTATCTACCATCTGTGTAGCACTGATCTCAAGTTAAATGTCCAACCAGAACGTGTCCAGAATATGTGGGGTCTGCAGGGATGTTATCAGCCCTTTTTCTGACCCTCAACCTCTACAACTCCTGGACGGATGGAAAAATGTGTTTTTGTCTGTCAGAGGGAGATTTGTTGGTTGCTCAGAAGCAACAAACAAATTCCCTCCGAGAAAAGTTTAACGGTTCGACAAAACAAAAACAACAATGTTCCTTCATGATCACTCAAAAGAAAAAAAATAAATCCTTAAAAGTCCAAAATTCGTAAGATTTTTGTGCATATGAAGAATGTGTGTAAACCCCTGACTACGTGAAGGTCAAAGTGCACACAGAGGCAATGAATCCAGGTCAATCTAAAATGTGTTTCAGCGTACCTGACACTGAGCTCACGCTGCACAAAGAGAAAAGAAATGAAATGAAAACACAAAGAAAATCAAGGCAAAGAAGAAAAGACGGGTAGAAAAATGTTAAACCTCTAAAATCCATAATTAAAACATAAAAATTGAAAAAACTCCTGGATGAGTCGAACATTTAGATGTGTTTAAAAGCCCAGTTCAAACGGCTGAGGAAGGAAAACATCCAGAGGTTATTAGTTTGGGACGTTTCTGGTCTATTTCTATGTTTCTATGTATTGTTTGTAAAATCTTGGTTAAACAGTCATTTAGAAAACATGTGCAACTAAACAATACAATATTGTTAAGTTCTGTACTGGGAGAAATTAAGTTTTTTAGCATTTTATTGATTGTTTTTAGAATTTGTCCACAATTCTTCACACATTAAACCATTTTTTAAGTATTAATTTCTTCATAATTATAGTAATAAGAACATATAATAAATAACTGGTTATTTGCTTGAATTTAGTTGTTGCCTCTTTTTCTTCAAATCTTTGTTGTTTTTAAACGACAGAGAAAAATCTGTCACATCAGATTTGTTGACGCCTCTGTCACACAATCAAAATTAATTTTGTTTTTTTGAATAGATAGAAATTAATTTATATTCTTAACTGCTTAATTTTCAATTCTATTGTCCAAATTCCCTAAAAATTTCATGTTTCATTGCTTTCCACCAATGGAACACATTTTTTTCCTCCAGTAAAGCTTCCAATTTGCATATAAAAGAAAAAGGAAAATAATTAAGCTTTTAAAAAAATTTAATTTTTATGCTGTTGCACAGAAAACAAATGTTTAGATTCAGTGTTGCAGCCATTTTTCCATACAGGCTCAAATAAAACACTACAAAAATTTAAATACACACATTTGGAATAAAAAAATAAATTTGCTTTTGTTCTGAAAATGTATTAGAATTTGTAAAGTGTTCTGATGACTGAAGTTAATAATGAAATTTATAAATTAAAAAATGGGAAACGTTTATTTGCAACATTGCTACAGCTTTAAAAGAGTTTGTTTCTGTTTTATAGTCACAATAAAATGAAAGTGTGTAAGTTACATCTGTTGAACACATGGGGGCGCCACATGCTAACCTCCTCCAGCTGGCTGTGGACATGCTGAACGATCAGATCGATGGCCACCATGTTCCCACCACCTTCACAAGGGAAACACAAGTCAGACGTTGCTGGAACATCGTTCCCTGTTCAAGATGGCCGCAGCGGCGCAAACCTCGAGGCACGACGATGTCGGCCAGCCTCATGGTGGGTTCAATGTACTGCTCAAAGGCAGGCTTCACAAACTTGTTGTACTGCTTGATGACGCCTTCAATGTCCCGGCCGCGCTCTGTGATGTCCCTGCGGAGCCGGCGGACGAGTCGGATGTCTGAGTCTGTGTCCACAAAGATTTTCATATCCAGCAGCTGCAGACGGGCAGAAAGAGAAACACCTTCAGTCGCGCCGACTTCTGCAGAGCGGCTGCAAAAAACAGCAGCTTCTGATTCACAGAGTTCTTCAAACAAGTGGGAATGAAAGATGTGCTGCCATACCTGAAGAAGCTCTTTGTCTGCAAAAGACATGATTCCCTCGAATATGATAACACTGGCGCCGTACACATTTTTCTGCAGAAAGAGAAAAAGGCGAAGTTTGAGGAGGTTAAAAGAAGAAGAAGACTGAGGGACAATTTAATTTCACTTTGCTCCTAGAATCTCAAACATACAACCGTACTTTTTTCCCCCTTAAAACGATGAGACACATTCTTACTTCAGTTGTTACACTGCAAAAAACACAATCAAGTATTTTGGTCCAATTTCTGGGGCAAATATCAAACTTTTCAGCAAGATATAAGAGTTTGTTTTCAGTCAATAATTCCATAATATAGATGAAAAAGTCCAAGTTTCATGTTATAAGTGGGAATATTTGAGTTCTCAAGAGGGAAAAAATATTTACTTCGAATTAATCTGATGGATAAAATCCACCAGTTTACATGAACTCATCTTGGGCTTAAATAAATTTTAAAAGCATGAATTGGGTGCACATTTGTTAATTACCTGGGGATATTTCACCAAAATCCGCAAAATTAGAATCAGATTCTAAGAGTGTGTGCAGACAAGGAAAGTATATATTTATAAACCTTAGGGGAAATAAATAAGTATAAATGAACAATATTCATGCATCGCAGCCATTTTTAATATATAAAGTGAGAAAAATAGGATTTTTGTTCATTTTTGCTTAATGGTGAAGTAGCTAACCCCTTGAGCTGTAAAGTCTAGTTTCTAGAGCAAATATCTTAGAACACTTGGAACAAGACTAAATTAATTTCTAATTGAATTTTCAGAAGGATATTAGCTTGTTTTGAGTCTATAATTCCTTAATATTTAATTAAAGAAGTACTAGTTCCACTGGCATACTATTTTATCTATAATATGGGGAAAATGTCTTATTATAAGTGAAATAATCAGCCAGTGGAGCCAGAACGGTTTCATCAAAATGAAGAAATTATCTAGTTAAAACAAGCTCCGCTATCTTTATTTCACTGGACAAAAACATGTGGTTGATTTTGTGTTTTGCAGTGCAGTAATAAATACGCTTTGATCCGCGATCAGAGCAACACGTACCCAGTCTTTCTGCCTCCCATGTGTGGTGAAGTCGTACACTGGGATCTTGACGCTCTTCCCCTGCTTCAGCTTTCGCAGCGTGGCCACCAGCAGCTGGAAGTCGAACGCCGCCGGATGGTCAAAGTTGTAGTCGTTCTGCACAGCCAGCAGCTGCTCCTCTGGGGATAAAACCTGCAGCAGTCACAGCATGGAGGCTCCTTCAAGACGCCGGGAAGCCTCAGGAAAACAAGCAGCTCTCTGGGAAATCATTCTAACTATTCGGAACGCCGGAACCTCTGCTATTCGGTCCACGATCAAACCGAGTCTAATGGACCAGCAGGTGACGCATTATTGTTAAATGGTTCTATCTGTGACTGAAAACATCGACACAATAAAACAGCAAGAGGTTGAAAATACTTCCTTCTAAAGCAGATTTCTTCCTGCAGTAAATCCACATGCCAGCATGAGCAACGTATAGAAAAGGAAGAACTGCTTACCTTGTAGAAAGAATCCATAGACAGAAGCACAACCCACGGCACATCGAGCGCCTCGATGATCTTGTTGGCCACGGTGGTCTTCCCTGAGGCGCTGCCGCCACACAGCCCTGCAGACACACAGATCTCAGCTTTTCTGGGTGAATCTGTGGCATCAATGACTGATTACATTAGAGTGATCAAGGACATCACAGCCGGCCCAAGGTATGTGAGAGTTAAGCTGCTGCTTAGGGCCTCCACACCACCAGGGGGCTTCCAAAACACCAAGCTAGCATAACAAAAAAACAAACTACATATTTAGAATAATTTTGTCTTTTCGGACTCTACTGAATGCTCCAAATTACAAATAAAAGTACAGAGTTTATTACTTTGAAGTAATAAACGTTCAAAGGAATGGGCATCGACTTATTGAAAGATGTCAACACCAGATGTAGCATAAAATAATACAAACTAAATGCTTTACAGATGAAAAAACAATTTATATTATTGTTATAGCTGTTTAACTTGTTCACTGTAAATTTTGCATTTTGTTAGCTTATGTCACCTTCAAATAGTTAACACTTAAATACCACACTGCATTTTAAAATGTTCAAACTGAAAAATGGACGCAAGCATTTTCCTGTCAGAGTGTAATCAGCTCCTGACTGAACTAAAGTTCTCAGATCTTATTTGGTTAGAATTTTATCCAGCGGCTCTTAAAACGTTTTTCTTTGGGGGCCCTGAAAATCTGCTCAGGGCCCCCAAAAGATTTGGGCCGGCCCTGATGTGAAGAGAGAAACGGTGGATTCTGTGACATGGAGGAGAAAGGCGTCATACCGATGACGAAAGCCTCTTTGGGCTGAGCGCCGTGCTCGTCGTACCAGGGAGGGCGGCCGGCGGTGTAGATGGTACGTGTGCCGGTGCGGAGCAGAGGTGGTTCCGTTTTACTCAGAGAGGTGGCGCTCTTCCTGCGGGGGGCCCCGGCGTGAGGCAGGAGCCGGTCCAGCGAGTCCTCTCCGCTCCCACTGAAGCACAGCAAGCAGCAGGCGGGTCAGAGACGACGCAGCAGCAACAGATCTGATCTGATCCAGTTTATCTATGGCAGCGTTTCCAGAATAGCTTCAGACTTCAGCTTTGACTTCTGAGGACATTTTTCACACAATAAATCCAAATGCCTGGTGATGCTGCGAGGATAGTTTTTAATATTTCTCTCTCTAAAACGAATGCAAGTCTCATTTGCTTTGGTCTCGTCCTCTCAGGCTTATGATGCATTTTTACTGTCAAAACTAGAAACACTTAAAGACTGAAATGTCAAATTTCTTAGTTAAATCCAAACACCTGTGATGAATTCGGTGAAAGTTCTGGAAGGCTTTTAAAGATAGGGAGAGAAAAAGGGACGGATGGACGGATGGATGGATGGACGGATGGATGGATGGATGGACGGATGGATGGATGGATGGATGGATGGATGGATGGATGGATGGATGGATGGATGGATGGATTGATGGACGGATGGATGGATGGATGGACGGATGGATGGATGGATGGATGGATGGATGGATGGATGGACGGATGGATGGATGGACGGATGAACAGTAATCTCAGGATTATATTTTATTAGTTGACCTGAATTCAAAGTCCAAATGAAACGAAAACACACATGCCAAACAAGATGGCCGCCTGGAAACTCGAACTCTGGAAATCCAAGGAGTGTTTTGGTAAAACCAAAGTTAAAACAAAAAAGCCCAGATATTACAAAAATTTAATTGCCACAAGGCAAATATTCATTCAATCAATATAGTCAATTTATAGCAACTACATTTTTTATGGGACATGAATGGAAATGAAGGATCCCAAAAGTCCCATTTGAATCTGACACCAACCCAACTTAATCCCACATCTAAATCCAGATCCTGCACTTCCCCTGACCTCTGACCTCTGACCACACTGCCTTTGGAGACCGTTTAAATCTCTCTCCACATATGAAAACCGTCACGGGGTGAGGGGGGCGTTCCTCCCACCGGTGATGCGCGACAACACGGCCCAGCCGGCGCTTACCTGCGGTCGCTTCTCAGTGACCAGCACCCGGAGATTCGGGCTCCGGTGCAGTCAAGCAGAGACATATCCGACCCGCTTGACATCTCGCTACTCGGTGGCAACCCGCAGCACCGTGGAGGAACCTGTTGCTGTGTGCAGCTCGGCTTGCAGCCTGAACTGTCACCGGTAAAGCTGCTCCACGCCGCTGCCACAGCGTGGGACGCTAAGAGGATCACTGAGGGAAAAGAGCCGATCGCTGGTATAAATAGAGACACCTGGAAACGCAGAGAGGACCAGGTGACGGGATGACCGCCGAGTCCACAACACGTCAGATTAAGGCTGCAGCTCTGATTATTTTAGTACTTTATCGATTATTTTAGTCGATTAATCGCATTTTTTTATTATTATTTTAACCACTTAAATGTAACTTTTATATAGAATATGACTGTCACATATTTGTTAAAACTGTCACCGTGTTGTGGCCAAATATTTTTATTCAAGTAACAGTAAAATGTGTCTGTCAAGGAAATTACTCAAGTAAAAGTATCTTATTAAAATGTCTATTTAAGAACTGAGTGACCGATCAAATGATCAATTATTTAATAAAAGTACATAGTCAGACAAAACAAAATATAAAGTTAAATGGAAATTTGGGTATTTTAAGGATGAAAATGATAATGATTCATATGAGAAATAAAAAAAAAATAAAAATTAGGAAAAAGAAGGATTTTTCCAAATCAGTTCCAATAATTTTTTTTTTAAAAAGTTCAGCAAAAACTGCAGGTGTGTGTCTGTATCATGTTTGTTTTTCATTCAGTGGGTAGAAATACTTCACAATACAATTACTAAAGTAAAAGTAAAAAGTACAGCATCGTAGAAGTCCGTTGTTTTAAAGTTACTCAAGTAAATGTCATGACAGTACCAACCTGCTAAACCATGTAAGTGTGTCATAAAACAACAAATGAAAAAAAACCAAATGATAATAATATTATTAGTACCACAAAATATTGTGATTAAATTCCAGTGTCGCCTGCTGCTACTGTAGTACCAAAGGAGATAAACATTAACATATATTTACTTCAAATGTTCAGAACATCTGATTTAATATTTAAAACGTCATCAGACAAAAACATCAAATTATAAGCAAATTGTTTTGTTTAAAAGATCAAAATTAAAAATTTTTTTTTACAGAGTAACAAATTCAGTCTGAATGGATATTTTAGTCATGAACCCCAAACACAGACAGATCCATGTTATTCTCTTGGAGGATGGAGATCTAGAGGTTTCCTACCAATCTGTGACGTATAACATGACGTAATTCCCCTCACTTACTTTTAACTCCGTGTTTGATCAACAACGATGTAAGCGAATACAGATACAGTAATACAAATGCTTAGTCGCAGTTGTCACATATGGATGATGGATGTTTTGTTTGGATGAAGTGGCGTGTCAGCGTTACGTCACAGCATAACCAGGCTGCTGCGGAATGGACGCGGTTAATAAACACGTCATGATTTGTTTTCCTGTGTTTTGTCATTTAAATACGGGCGAAAGCGACGAATGGGAGCGGGTTGTACCTGTCCGAGCGGGAAGTCATTATTTTCTGTCTCTGCATCCGCCGGAATCCTGCAGCGACTGCAGCCTTGAATGGAGTCCGACTTCTGCACGCTGGGGGATTATGGGTAATGTAGTTCATCAGAACAGTCTCCAGAGGGGGCCAGAGCAGACAAAAATTTCACTCCAATTAGAGTAACGCTACTTCAACTTGTCTTGACTCGTGTAAAAGTAAAAAGTAGCCATCCTAGAAATTACTTGAGTTCGTAAAAAAAAAGAAATAAAAATCTACTCAGTTACTGATCAAATGATTGAAATGTAAAAATTACATAATCAGGTGGACAAAAATATAGGTGGATATTTTGGTATTTTAAGGATGAAAATTACAATAACTCATACAAGTAATAAAGTAAAATAAAATAAAAATTCAATGAAAAAGAACTTAATATAATAAAAACTGTGATGAATTTTTTTCCCCCTCACTGGGTAGACAATCCAGAAATTTTACTCAGGAGTAGAAACACTTCATAACAAATTACTCAAGTAAAAGTAAAGCCTAGTAAAAATACTCCTAAAAGTGTTTTTTTTTTGTCTTTCTTCCAAAAAGCAACTCAAGTAAATGTAGTAAAGTTAGGAAGTTACTACCCAACTCTGTCCATCGAATATCTCAAAACAACTGACACACAAAGAAGCACCTGCATTTTAATAGTTTTGTTTAATAATTACATTTTTGACATAAAAATCCAGACAATGTTTAAAGACACACATGAATATAATAATTAAGCAGAAATCAGAGCAGTACAACATTAGAGCAGATTGTCACGATGCTTTTCTCATCACAGTTCACAGTCTGTAAAGATGGCGTTTGTAAAGATGGCGTCTGTCCGTCATGTCGATGTTGAGTTCAAATCCTTCAACATCATTCTGCAGCTCGGATGGGTTTGTTCCTGATCAGTTTCTCCAGCTAAGATATTCTTCCAAAAGAACCTAGGAGAATAAAAACGCCATCAGAAACATTCAGTGCCGTTTAACTGCTTATTTTTCAGTATCCCAGCTGGAAGCAGCTGCTTCTTATTTCATCCAGGCAGTATGATTGGTAACAGCTGGAACGGCTTCTCACACAAAGGAAAACGGACCCGTCTGACATGCCAGAGCTTGTTGGTGAAGCCTGCGCCGTAACAAAGTGTAAAAACAACAATTTGCTGTCACTGAAAAAGACAGAAGGGGGGTTTGTTTCTGAGCAGTTGCTAGGGAACAGACAGAAAACAATCAAGCTTTCAATACTCTGGAAAAACAGCACAATGTTGTTTTTTTATTTGAACCATTGAAGAAAAGCCACAGAATGAGAAGTGAGCAGTTAAATGTTCTCTTTTCTTTTAAGTTGACCTATCATGGTTCCCTGATCAGCTTAGGAAAGATCTATGTCTATACAAAACATGTTCTTCACATTTTTTTGCACAAAATTATTCCAAGATTTCAGTTTTGAGATCCTTTTAGAACAAGCTGTTTTATGGCATCCTGTCACTTTAAATCCAAACAAGCTGCTGGCCACGCCCTGAAACGCAACGTTTACACTCAAACATAAAAATGGCTACAAATAGATGCACAATTATAAAACCATACATCTTTGAAAAGCATTAGTAGAGCCTCCTGCACAAACAACAAGAATGCAGCAAGTGGCTTCTGGATGGCAAGTCAACAAAACAACTCTTGTCTTTTCCAGCAGCCATTGTACAGCACATACAGAGGTAAAACTGGCTGTCCAGATATGCTGGAGCTCTGATTACATTGCCAAACGAGGCTGAGCTCGGCTGGGTTGCCAAGTAACAGCACAGTGCCTGTCAAGCGTGACTTTATAATTGGGAAGGTTTTGAAATGGCTCATTTTCCAGACACCGAAAAAATGTGAATTTAATGCCTGAAACATCTGGGGTTTTTTTTTTTTCTTTCTTTTTTTTACCACTTGGGCTGATTTTAGAAGCAGCTGAGGCCAAAATGTAAATATAAAAAAGGTAAAAAAAATGAGAATTTTCTTTGACGGTCCCCTTTAAATGGCTTATTTATTCTACCAGTAGTTTACAGCTATGATGAGGTCAATTATTTTTAGTCAAACGAGAGTTCAGGCGCTACAGGGAGGCACTTTGAGGCTGAGCAGTTAGATTACATGTTTGTTTTTCTGACTCGTCCATACAAAAAAGAAACTGTACAAACGTTTTTTCTGCCCCCATCACTTCATATCTACTGCATCTTCCAGGGTGAAAACAGATCAGATGTCACAGACAGTCTGGCTCTTCAACCTTTCATATTAAAATGCTTTGCAGCGTTTATGGTGGACAGGTTGTGTGGAATGATTTATTAAGCCAGTGCAAAATATTCAAGATTATGTAAATCTGTTTATGTTACGCAATTCTTCAGTGTTTTAAGGGTTTTTGGTATTGTTTCAGAGTGTAACCGCTGTGTAAACGCTCTGAACTCAGTTTGGACTGAATAAAACATTGGACCAACATCTGCTGATGACACTTCTCTCCACATCATCACAGTCTGTGGAAACTTTTCCCTGAGCCTCTACGCTCACAGCAAAAACACAAAATGTAACAGAATGTTTCTGGTCCAGTTTCTACTGCAAATATCTTAGTACACATAAAAGAAGACAAAACTAACAAGTAACTTTCCAGGAAGATATAGCAGCTTGATTATTACTAGACTACTAGATTATTTCACTCATAACTTGGGAAAATGTTTTGTTATAAGTGAAGTAATCTGGCAGAACTAGGAACGTTTTCATTAAGATAAAATAATTAACTTAAAACAAGCTGTGTCTTGCTGAAAAGTTATTTGTAAGTCAATTTTGTCTTATTACTAAAATATTTGCAGTAGAAACTGGACCAGAAATACTCTAAGACTTTGTGTTTTTATAGAGCTCTACCTCATTCACATTTGTAACAAAAGGAAAATTTGCATCACATTTAAAACTTGAAAATATGCAGGAGAGTCATCGTTTCTGTGTCAGGAAACTGTTGATATAAGGAACTTAGAATGGACTTTGTTTCCCAATCCTCTCAATATCTCTGTTATCCTTGTTGCTTGTACACATTTCTTCCTTCCACTAAGTTTTACATACAGCTCTGGAAAAAACTAAGAGCCACTGCAGTGAACCCGACTGAAAACCTTCTGGTTATTCCACCAGATATTGACTTCAGAACTCTTCACCAGGTTAAAACATTAGTGTTGTTGTTGTTTTTAAATCAATATAAACTTGTTTTATTTGCATTATTTGAGGTCTGAACGCTCTGCATCTTTTTTGTTTTTTTGACCATTTCTCATTTTCTGCTAAAAAATACAAAATTTTTGCTAGGAATTTCAGAGACATGTTGTCAGTAGTTCATAGAATAAAAGAACAATGTTCATTTTACTCAAACGTTTTACTCAAGAATACTCTTTTTAAGATGCTCCTGCAGGTTTTGGTTGTTTAGGACAGATTTATTTTCCCTTTCTTTGTCATTTGGCAATAAAATCAGGCTATTTCCTCAGCGTTAGTGACCATAAAAACAGAACTACAGTCAAAACGCACAAAACAAAACATCAAATGAAGACCGAGAGGTCAGGGTGAACTAATTCAGCTCAATAGAAACAATATATCTGTTTAATGTTTATGTTTTCGTTCAATTTAAATTTGTAGTAAAACAACAAGTCAAACAACTAAAAAAAAGCCTTAGGAATACACATTTAAATATTTGACTGTCTCTGGCATAATTAAAAAATAAAAAGGGAATTTGATGAAAATTTAAAAGATACCATTAAACTTTTTAAATCAGAAAACTTTCAAACTGCTTGGAGAAATTCGCCTGTGTTGTCTGAGTCTGATAAGATGGGAGAATGAAAGTGAAAACGTAAAACCAGGATGAAAA